GGTATTTTATTCAAAACCAAAACAGTCGACCTCATGGTGGCGTTGCAAGTGAGTGCCCACTGCAGACTTAAATGTGGAACTGAACCTTGACCATGTCCTCTGGCTTCTCAGCTTCAACTCTTCGCCAGCCGCTGCTGACTGTAGCTGTTGCTAGTTGCATAACGGAACCAGGCTCAGCAGCCTGCCAGTGCACACGCCCAGACCGGGAGGTGATTTACAGAGTTTAACTGCTGACTGTAGTGCTGTTAGATACCTGCATGGCTAACTGAGGATATTAGCCAAAGGTACAGTTAGCAGTCAGTCTAGACCACAACTGCCATTTTAAGAACTGTTAAACTTAAAAACACCTTATTTGAGCATTTTATGTCCCAGAGGACAAAAGAACTGCTGTAATGGTTTGTAATAATTCATATTTTACATGGCTGTGGCACATGATTACGCTCCTTAGCCATTCCTACAGCACATTATCTGAAGGAGACAGTATTGTAACACTGTCTGACAGGCTTGAGTTTCAAACAATCAGAGGCCTTTTCTTTGTGTCACGCCAGCCAGACGAAAACAAAAGGAAAATCAGAGTGGGACGTCTGATTGAAGTATCATGTTAGAGGTCAATAAATATTTTGTGTGTGTGTGTGTCTGCTGAGCGAGAACACTCACTTTGCTGCTAACTTTCCACAGCAGTGGCTGACACTGAACTCTGTTATAATTAACATTTGACCCTGAGAGCCACCCATCCCAGAATGCAGAGCGTGTGCTGAGCATCCACTTACTCCTAATCCCTCACTTTCCTTTCCTGTTCTTTTCTTTCCATGTTCCTCTCTTTGTTGTTAGTTTTTACAGAACTTCCAATGACTTTTTTTTTTACTCTGATCTGGTCTGAATCTTTCAATCTATTTTGCTCTGCAGTTACTTGGTACTTTATGATGTATATCAAATAACTGAGCTATTTCATTTTTAATGATCTTTGCATCAGATCACTTAAAAGTTTGACTGATTTTTGAAAAAGTTTTCATCCTCTAAAAAAGCCACTTTAGCTATCGATACACCAAAGCTTCCGAGGTTATCAGGTTTTCTGGTGGTAGCATTAGTGGGCTAATAAAATTAGCATGTGTGAGACCACTGACTTTGTGTTTCCCTTAGAAGCTTCTGTGAGATTTGATTCCCTTTGCTGCCTTTATCACCAGTTTTTTAAATCCTTAAAATAACAAACAGATTAAGATTAAACCCCCGGGCCTTAGGAGACAGAGCTGTTTCCTCTTATTTATTAAATATTTCTGCACCAAGCCAAATTATGCAGACTTTAATTATGAGCTCAACAACGGCTGAGAAAACAAAAACAGCATTCACACACACACACACACACACACACACACACACACACACACACACACACACACACACACACAAACAAGGCCTAACATTTGGTAAACACATGCACAGATGCACAGAAAATGTACTCTCCCTTCACTTTCTGTCTTCTCTCCCTCACTTTCTCTCCCTCGCACACACATTAACCAACACATAAACATGCACACACACTGTGCAGCTGCCCACAGTCGTCTGGGAAGGGACCGGCAGGTTTCCAGCCCGCGAGAATTCATGTTTCCGAATGATTAGAGGCGAGGCGGACGGGACGGTCTCGGAGGCAGCAGCTGCCCGCCCCACGGCTCCAAGTGGAGCAGAAAATCAGGATAATTTTATTGTGATAATCAGCCTCCCGTTATCCCCGTCACTTCAACTCATGGAGGAGGAGAAGGAGAGAGGGGAGCACAAGGGGGATGGAGTGTGAGACAGCGAGAGGAAGAAAGGGAGGAGGGAGAGGAAAGAATAAAAATACAAGAGAAAATGTGTGCTTCATGCCTGGTTAGCTGCAGAATGTCCTTTATGCATGTGTGTGGGTTGGAGTATTGTGGGCCTATTTTGTGTGTCCCATGTTCATGTTACTATACCTGTGAGAACCGATATTTATATATACCTGAGACTGGAACAACACAGTCCCAGTAAAAACTTTTCCAGAGTGACATAGAAGTAGTTTCTTTTTTTTTCAGACATATGTTTCATTGCGTGCAGCAGCACAAAAATATTCTGTTCACTTTCATTACATTGGTGTGAGACACGACTCAGAGGTGGATTCTCAAAAATCTGCACATAAAATTGTAATTGCTTTTTCTTTGTTTACAGGGACATTGTACATTAATCAGTAACACTGTAAATGTGAAAGTGTTTTCAACCGTTGTTCATTGGCCAGATGTTAGATTAGGCATTAAAGCAACAAGTAAGAAAAAACATGAAGGAGATGAACAGATGATAAAAGCCATGAATTGTCATTATTATTTGACCCCAATGCACCCGGTAAAGATACATTAACTGGTAAGTATATGTGGATACTGCAACATTATAGAAAAGACAATTTTCCAGTTCCTTGGCCAACTGGGAGCAAATTTTGTAGAGAGCCTTTCTAGATAAGCTCACCCCGTTAAACCAACATATTAAGTATATTAAGTGCAAGGGGGGCGGTTTTTAGTAATGTCACCCTAACCCACACAATCGACTTTCCTCATCAGTGTGTGAGAATGTGCTCCTGATGTTGTGTCTCTTTGTGCAGGTGTGTGTTTGCTAGTTTTAATGCAAAAAACCCATCGTTTGAATTGTTATTTCTTTTATAAAGGAAGATGCCAATTCTATAGACACTAAACTGTAAAACCTGTCTATTTCTATCAACAGCTTATTTCTCACCTCAGATAAACATTTTCCACACTCTCTTAGAAGTCAGCTGGTAGCGCAGTGCAGATTTCTCAGCACACAGTTCTTCCTCAAAAGTGTTGTTCTCAGCTGTGATTTACTGTATAAACTACCATCGCCATCAGTGTGTGTTTGTGTGTGGGGGGGAGGTTAATGAGTTTATGTTGCTCTTAACTCCCTTTTTCTCACTCTTCTTCTCTTCTTCTCTTTCGATTGCTCTTTCTTTGTGGTTGAATCAGACCTTCTGTTCTCTTTGTCTTGTCCTTCATACAGATAGCTTGCCGCAGTCTCACTCATGGTTAGTCTGTGTTCCTCTTTGGTATTTTCTTTCTTTTTTGGGCTTTCTTGGGAGAGCTCAGATAAAATTCCAAATAGCTTTAGTAAAAAATGTGATTATATATAATAATGTATATATTTCTTCCCTTTCTCTCTCTCTCTCTCTCTCTCTCTCTCTCTCTCTCTCTCTCTCTCTGCACCAGTAAGGCAACATTTGGTCACTCCACCTGCTGCACTGACAACACCTCACATATAGATACACTCTGGTCTTTGAAGATGTTCCCATGAGTCTGTGCAACCTGCTGGTCACCACTTTCACATTTGTCATAGGTACAATAAATGAACAAGGATAAAAAAAAAAAAACATCCTGGGATAAACAATGCCTTTATTGTGTTTGACACTGGACACGTGTCAGTGTGAGTGTGTGCTGCTGGGCAGTTGATTCAGTTACAGGAAACACCAGGCTACACAAGATGGAAATCCCTATGCACAAGAGGTGTGTGTGTGGAAACTGAATGGTATTTTATGTTTTTGTTAAGTGCATGAGTTCTGTACATGTGACCCAGCCCTGATAACGCTTTTCTAAAGTCAGTTCTGACATTCGTGTTTTTGTACTGAACAAACTGGTTGCTTTTGTTTTGTTCCAGTACTCGATAGAATGACTTATGAAGGGGGTGTGAGGCTCCTGTGTGAGATAGGTGTAGAGATCTTATAGTGAGGACTGGGTGTTGTCTGTTATTTTACTTACATGGTTAATACTCAGAGAAACTTGTTTTTAACAGAGAGAAAGCTGCACCAGGATGTAATGTTGAAAGTGACTCAGTAAGTTACTTGTGGAGAGCTGTAAAAATGTGTTTCCTGACATTAAAACACAGGAGTTTCCTCAGCAGAAGGAGGCGCTGGGGACCTTCTTGTACACAGAATCACTGTGCTCAGGAAGAGCTTCTGTCTATTTTAGTGCCCAGGTATCTGAAGGCCCCCCACCTGTTCCACCACCTGCTATTTTAATTCAAGGGGCTCAAAAAGTGGGTGGGCAGCTTCACCAGATGTTAGCATCCCATAGGAGAGATGTTCAGCTCTCATCAATGAGAGCGATCAGAGAGTCCACATACTGGTGATACACTGACAAAGGATTTACATCAGTCAGTAAGCCACTTGGGCCACGTCAGCTGCTTTATAGGTGTTTGGCTATCCACTTCCTGCTCCACTTCAAATATGTTTTAAATGAGTTTGATTCTATTCCACTCCACATACACTGAGAATGAGGACTTTTCAGCGAAGGAGACACAGTCTTTCTAGTAGTTTTAAATAAATAATTGCATATTTATAGATTCTGGATTTTTCAATGAGGGAGAAGGAATATGTGTTGAATAAAAACATTTAAAAAATAGTATTTCTATATTTCTTAATACGTGTATGAAGAGGATTTTTAAATAGCAGACATGGCCTTTGCTGTCATACAGTCTCTAATTGCATGATGTCCTGTGTTAGTGTCCCTATTAGCGCTCTCCAGTGGACGAGCAGCGACAGTGAATGCACATCCATCGCTTTGATAGAGATACACAGCGGATGTCACCACATCTCGCAGTTAGACTGTGGCTTATTGCACTATTAGTACTAGGAGCATAAAGCCCTCTACAGGGAATAAAGTACAGTAGCCTGTAGGTCGCCTAACATCCAGCCACACGCCACTGTACTTCCAACACATCACATTTCTAAAAAGGAAACGATACAAATGTTAAAGCTATTATATGTTGGCAAGATTTTTCCTGGAGGTTTGTAAACATGTACAAATACTGTAAACCTTTTAAAGTGAAATGTCAGAATTTAAATGATCCTTTCATAGTTCCGATCAGGAGAATTATAACAGCAATTAAACTGTAATAAAACCCATGTATGAGCATACCAGCAGCACCACAGAGATAAAAAAATAAATAAATCCTTCCTCCTCCTCCTCCTCCTACTCCTCCTCCTCCAGAGAGCCACTCGCTGACCGCCGGTCGCCTCCACCGGAGTCACAGCATACGGACCACCGGCCACATGCGACCTCACACCGGGTCCCTGCTCTTTGTGAAACCGCAACATAGAGCTCGTTTTCCGCATCTTATCTTTGAGTACTACTGATGGGAACCTCGGTGTCTTCTCCATCTCGGTGTGCGCACTGTGCTCCTCTCCATCCGAATAGCCGATAGTAACAGGAGGCTGCAGGGGCGCTCAGTCGGACCAGGAGGACAACACCATGAAGTTGGCGGTCCTCTTCCTCCTCCTCTTCCTCTTGTCGGTGTCCTGCCCGCTGTCCCTCGCCGACATCCCCGGTAAGAAAACTCTGATGTGTTTTTTATTTTCTAAATATTGTTGAGTATCCATTACAGTGTCGTTTCTATTGAGGACATCACCATGTGGTGCAACATTAATGTCTGATTAAGACTGAAATCAGCTCCTCATAACCTCTAATGACCCCTTCACACAGAAAGTATAGCTTACACCTTCACTGCTTTATAAAAGAAGTCCACTGTTGTTACCTTACAGCAATTTGTTACAGAAGTCGTGTTTATTGCGTCCCACGTATCTCATTATATGTCTGTTATTCTATAGTAGAAACTAACGCCATCACAAGAACACCCTTTTCTGGATTTTTAATTGTAATGACAATAATGCAATCGAAAAAACTATTTGGAACAAACTAAAGTAATCAGAGCTATTTCACCACCCTCCACTGCACTCCTGAATCAACCAGATGAGATTATGAGCAGCACATCATTCCAGCTCCGTTTGTCCTGCAGTCCATGGGTCAGGGACACAGACAGGAACACAGGAGGTGTCCGATGTCAGTTCAGCTCTCACCTCTCACTGAGAGTCCTTGAAAGCACAGACAGAGGTGATCTAAGGGGATTAAAATGACCTGTAACTGATTACTGTAGGTGGTTTTATATTTGCTTGGACTTAACATTTATTCATCTGTAAGTCCAGACAGATGGAAAGCCAGAGGAGAAACTAGCAGAAGGTAAAAGGTCCACACTCTTCCTCACCTCACACAGTAGCTCTTGCACTTGACGTCCCATTTGTGTGACATTACAGCTGTCTCTTGTCAATATTACTGTCTTTGTCCCCCCCCAGAGACGCCATATCGCCTCAGGCAGACTGATGCGCTGACTGCAGCTTCTGGACACAGTTATATATTATCTTTCCCCTCTCCCTCAATTTGTAACTTGGAGTGGCATCATTCACTCCCCATCCTCTCTTGTGGTTAGATGCATCTACACAGCTGGAGGACTTAAATTGTGACTGCTGTGGGGGAGGGCATATAGCTGTTTGTGGATTTGGAGGGATAAGTTGTTTTATACACTTTTCTTTCCTCCTTTTTTATTCTCTTTTTGGTTTAGATATTCTGTTGAGTCACATAATGCAACACAAGTGAACTAATTAATAATTAGTTGAAATAAACGTGTTTCCACCAGAAATTTGACCAGAAATCCACTGGATAAATCCTTTCCTATTGCATTTTGATGCCACTTTGGCACTCTTTCAGTTCATACATTTCTATAAATGTATAAATGTCAATGTTCAAACCAATAACAGATTTTATTTGTGCTGTCTAGCCAAACTTTTAAATAATGGAAGACACAAAAATGCACATTTACGCACTTATATAAGATCCCCATGAAAGGCACAATGTGGCATCCTCTGTGTAACCATGTAGGGATATTGTCCATGGTGCTGAAACATATTTTCAAACTTTTGACCACCAGAGGTCACTTAATTAGGACAACAAAATTAAAAGCAAAGTTGCTTGGGTTGTCCGGGTGCTGCTGCCAACCCAAGTTTACTCTTAGACTTTACAAAAGTAGCCATAAAACATTATCTTAAAAAAAATATATATGGAAAAGGTTCTCAAGCAGTAATTAGAAGGTAATTAGTTGTGTCTATTTTCCACCCGTCTACTGAAATGTCAGAAGATTTTTGCATTTTTTCATATTTATATTTATTGGGGATATACAAGCTTTAATCTCTTCTATTAGAGCAGTTAATGTTACAACAAGCTTTGTAACGAACAGCTTTTAATTTACATTCCTCCTCTGTGTTCCAGCTCCAAGTGAGTTTGTCTCCTTGGCGGAGATGGAGGACGCACTGCTGAGGAACCTTTTCCAAGGCTACCAGCGCTGGGTCAGGCCCATCCAGCACGCCAACGACACTATTAAAGTACGCTTCGGACTCAAGATCTCGCAGCTAGTTGATGTGGTGAGAACACACCTACAATCACAAATGGTCTTCATTTATTCCCAACCCCTTACTTTAATAATAACTTTAACCTTTACTTTTACCTTAATTAAAACCAAATCCAAACCACTGGGACCGTTAGTGGATCCAGTACTACAAGCACACACACTCAAACTTCAAACTTGCTGATCACAAGCATAGCCACAGCTTCAGTGACCAGATGTAGAACATAAGTGTGACATGTACAGCTTTTTATTGTTTCTAAAGGTACTTAAGTGGAAATGTAGCTAGACATTTAGGAGTTAAACCTAATCCTGTATTTTACCTAATTATGACTCAGATCTTGCGGGATACTGAGGATCTTCTTACTGTCAGCAAGTCACATGAAAGACCCAAACCAACAATGAATTGATTTACAAGCACGCATCGTCTGTGTAGTCAAAGCCTAATATAGCTCATTTATCTGAACAAAGACCTCCATTGAAAACTGGTAAATATACATCAGGGAACCCCACTGTTGCACTTGGACAATTTCCTTCATTGCCATGATCATGAACACTGTCGTTTATATGGAGTCAATCTCAAATGCTATTCTGCTGTCATATATAACAAATCTGCAGAATCCCAAACAAATGAACAATTTGCTCCTGTTTGGCTTAAGTTTGCTAAAAACTACTAGACTCAGGAACTCTTTTGGGAAATCATTTAATTCATTTATAAATTGTATATATGTATATATTCTTGACTATTTTTTTTATCAGGAATCTCTTTTCATTATGAATCAGTGGGCCACGTACATACTCTGATTAAGCAGAGCAGCGTCACTGTCGTCCATGCTGCTGAAACCAAACAGGCCACTGGCAGCTTCGCAGTGTGGAGCTTTCCGTGGTCCTGAAATAGATCTGGAACACTCTCTTCATATATGCAACCACACAGTCTCTCTCTGGAGTGTTCCTTTAATATTTCAGAGGCTGGCTGTGATAGGTTGAGATGGTTTAGGTGTTCAAGAGGAGGAAAAAGAGGATGCTAATGGAGGAGCCAGTCTTCTCGGCTTGAAATATTAATCTCAACCAGTTTAGATTTAACTCTTCAACCTAACACATGCGCTGGGTAGAGACAATCAGTGATGAATTAAACACAACCCCTCTCGTGGCTCTGCAGAGAAGAAAGATTTGGGTTGATGATCTGTTGGTTTGTGGGAAGGAGAGCAGGACGGAGACACAGCCGATTGGCTAAGCTATGGGTGCTGCTGCATGGCTCTGTATTAGATTATGGTTCATCTCTGCTCTATGTGATCTCAAAAACATCCAACTCAGTTTGACAGCTGAGGCCTGGTCTGGATACAATGAACAGCTACATGTTTGTTCATCTCTCAGCCAGGTTTATTTATCTCAAGTCTTTTGCTCTTATTCTTGCCCCCTTATTTTTCAAACTTGCCTTCAGTGATGTGGAAATAAACCTGTGTTGACCACTCTCCATCTCTCTATTCCTGTCTGCCTCTGTTTACCTCTTGCTGCATTGGTTCACTGCACCCACCTCTGGTTTCATGTTTCTTTGTCTTGTTTGCCAGGGAAGTGGCAGAGACAGGTAAATGAGATTCTGTTTGAGTTCATGGAAAAGAAAAAAAATATTTAGGTTGCTTTCAACCAAGCTTCTCATCTTCTAATCAAATCTAACATTGTGATTAAAGCACCCAGATCCTAAATAATTTGTGCTGTAAACACATGACATCAATACAACCCTAAAAATGCAGTATATTTTATTGCTTTTTGTTAGAAAAGATAAATAATATTGTTGATTTAGATTATCTTAAACTAACAGTATCTGCACATTTGACATCTACAGTTGATCCTGCAAAACATCTGTTGAATTGTATTTACAAATTTGAGGCTGAAATTAGCAGCCAGTTTTAATCCTGCATTTACAAGTTACTGAACCTTTTACTGGATCATATTAAGGCTTGACAGTAACATTGGGAGTGATTTCAATCTGGTGTTTTGAATTTTGATGATGTGACTACCCCTTTGTTTGAATTTTGATCATGAAATGTGCCAAGAACCACTGTTTTCTTCTGGATCATTTCGCCCCTTTTTGAAATATTACTTGTCTGTCTGTTGTCTTTGTCTGTCTAAGGATGAGAAGAACCAGCTAATGACAACTAACGTTTGGTTGTGTCAGGTGAGCAAGACACAGAAACGCTAAATGGATATGGACTATATGAATACAATCAATCTTACCATTTGTATACACAGCAAAATCCACATGGAGCTCTATTTTCATTCCTCAAAAATTCACTATATTCAGGTACCTTTTTTTTATTTTTCCCCCTCTAAAATCGGAATCAGTCTCAAAAATCCAGTATCAGTCAGGCTCTTATATGGATTAGTGAGTGCATAAAGGTTTCTGATTGGTGTGACAAATGTAAATACTTCAGAACCCTGCTGGATATGATCTAACTCCAGGGGCAGAGAACTTATTTTGAATTTGTGTTTCACCAATTGTGTCTAATGATACTGCAACATACTGTTTATGTTGACCAGGAGTGGATCGATTACAAGCTACGATGGAATCCAGAGAAATACGGGGGAATCACTTCTATCAGAGTTCCTTCTGAAAATATCTGGCTCCCAGACATCGTCCTCTATGAGAAGTAAGACTGCTCGGATATGCCAGGAACCAACAATTACCTTCATGTGAAACTAAAATAACTAAGAAAACTCTGCTAGTATGAAAAGTACAGCAACAAAAACTGAATGTTGTTTTTTTCTGATTTGTGCTCTATGTTTTTTCAGTGCTGATGGGCGGTTTGAGGGCTCCCTGATGACCAAAGCCATTGTCAGGTACAATGGTGCCATCACCTGGACGCCACCTGCTAGTTACAAATCCGCCTGCACTATGGACGTCACCTTCTTCCCCTTTGACCGCCAGAACTGCACCATGAAGTTTGGCTCCTGGACATACGATGGCAACATGGTGGACCTGATTCTGATAGACAAACAAGTAGATCGGAAGGACTTCTTTGATAATGGAGAGTGGGAGATCCTCAGTGCCACTGGTGCCAGAGGGAACAGGAAGGACGGCATGTATTCGTACCCGTTCTTAACGTACTCCTTCATTCTGAAGAGGTTGCCATTGTTCTACACCCTCTTCCTCATCATCCCTTGTTTGGGTTTGTCCTTTCTGACTGTGCTGGTGTTTTACCTTCCCTCAGATGAAGGAGAGAAGCTGTCACTCTCTACCTCTGTCCTAGTGTCGCTCACTGTGTTCCTCCTGGTCATAGAAGAAATCATCCCCTCCTCCTCCAAGGTGATCCCGCTCATTGGAGAGTACTTGCTGTTCATCATGATCTTTGTCACACTCTCAATCATCGTCACCGTCTTTGTCATCAACGTGCACCACCGCTCTTCAGCCACCTACCACCCCATGTCGCCGTGGGTTCGTAATCTCTTCCTGCAGAAACTGCCGAGGTTGCTCTGCATGCGTGGGCACACCGATCGCTACCACTACCCAGAGCTGGCTCCTGAAAGCCCTGAGCTGAAGCCTCGCTCTGGAGGTCGGAGAGGAGGCCACAGGGCGAACAGCGGGGCCCACGGACAGACAACTTCTGAGGGCAAGGAGGACGAGGTCTGGGAGACCATGCTGGATAAGGCTATCTACTCAGTGCGCTACATCAGCAGACATATCCGCAAGGAACACTTTATCCGTGAGGTGAGTTTAGCTGAATTATATTGATCAAGACAGATATAATTAATCATTAGAGTAGTTTAATGTTTATACATGTTTTTGTCAAACCATCTCCCATTTCTTCTATTTTCCAGGTGGTACAAGACTGGAAGTTTGTGGCCCAGGTCCTGGACAGGATCTTCCTGTGGGCTTTCCTCACCGTCTCAGTACTGGGCACTATCCTCATCTTCACTCCTGCTCTGCGGAAGTTTATGAAAGTCCTTCCTCCAGCTGCAAGTGAGGATCCACCTTCAAACTAGTAGCAATAACACACCCTTTCACAGGCAACTGATGATCCACCTTCAAGAATCTATAAAACATTTGTTACCACAGAGCAGGAGGAAGTCACTACAGGTGCTTTTTAAAGGACAACTTTGGTTAGGCTTCTAGATCCGCTCAATGTGTGTATCTTAGTAAAAATTGGTGCAACCTGTGTTAAATGCCGAAGTCATAAAACTGCAGATTCTACACCTAGTGGCTTTAAGTAGCAAGCAGCTATCAGTTCACTAGATTACACATGCTGGTAATTTTAAAGATGTATTTAAGATAAAATTAAATAAAGGATTAAAACAAACCCACCCAACTTTATTCAGCGTAAAATTAAACTACAAAATGTTTTATGAATGGTTTGATTTATGTACTTGGCTGACTGATTATTGTTTTTCACCTGGCTGCCACAAATTTTCTAGGATAGTACAGTTAAAAAAAAACATAACAATTTAAAATTCCTGATGTCAAGCTATTACTTTAACTATATGTTCTTGTTATACATAACTGCCACAATAATCAGAGTGAGAAATAGTTGTTCTTATCACATACCTGAAGCACAAAATACCTCTTACTCCAACTATATTACGCTAAGCATATGTTAGGGGAATAAAGTAATTAAATGACTGGTCAGAACTCTATTGTGTGATGTATGTGTATCTGAACAGCTTGTACTGACTTTCTGTTAAATACTGTGTCTTTGCCTTTATCGCCCTCCTCAAATACAAAAGTTGTTAGATTTTGGTCACTGCTGTTAGTAAAACCAGATCAACATAATAAACTGTGCAATAAATAAATGACTGAATAAAAGACTTAATGGAAATTACTTGACATTTTTCTTAAATTACCAATCCTCAAAAGTACAGAATTTGTATTGTTCGGATGTACTTTATCCCACTAATAAAGTTGTTTTAAATACATGATGCTTTATTTGTCATATGTAACATTATCTCTGCTCCATTCAATGAAAATTCCATAAGATTATACACAATAGATGGACAGATAACTAAGGCACAATAAAAGAAAAGTATTAAAAATATATAGATGGTGAAGTTACAGCACCATCTAGTGGTAAACCAGAGAGATGGAGAAACCCCCCCCCTTAAAAGAAACAAATACCAAACCCAAGAAACATAATTCCGCCCTCCAAAAAGCACAACATGAAAGATTTGTTAAGGATAATAATAATAATAATAATAAAGATCCTTCTTCAACTTATATGCTTTTTTTGTATTTGAATCCTTATTCGAGCGTTCATTAATTGCTTGTATGACTTTTATTACATGACAATGCTACTTTAAAGAGCACCATTTAATTTTCTTTGCTTCAAACTTTTATTGAATAAAATGCTTGATAAGGCATAATTGTTTTAAAATAGTCCATACACTCATAAAAACAACTGTAATTCACAAATGTTTCATATGAATATATCAAATCATATATATATCTGTAAATCTGTAACTAAACCAATACCATATTGTCTTTTTCCATATATTTCATATATTATTGAGGCCTCACTGTCAATACAATGTTGTCAACATCATTTTTCATCCAAAAACTGTTTTACTCACTTGTCTTGATAGATTGTGTCTCATAATAAAGATATTAGTAAAGCTCCTCATGGGATATTAAATGCCTGTATTATTATTACAATGTACAACAGAAGTATAGCCTTAATATGTGGATTGTTGTTTGTTTACAAAGATCCTGACAAGTATAATAATCTTGTCCACCCTTTTGACTGCAACTATTTTAAACTATATAATACTTAAGTATTAAAAGGCAAAGCTAATACATTCTTTCATAAAAGTAGCTAATAATTGAAAAATATGGTCATCCTGTAAATGGGTAAATGTTTAGGCTTTAACTGTATTATTTGTTTTTTATCTGTGTCCTCCCGTCTGGCTGTCCAGATGAGCTCGTGCATTGCGCAGCATCTCCATATACAGCCTGTTGTTTTCCCTGCAACATAACCAGATAGAGGAAAAATATGGAAAAAGAATGAACATTTTAAGAAAATGTGATGATATTATTTGAATAGTATATTAAAAGCGAGTTATACACTCAGGGACAACTGCTCAGTTTGGTCATATTAAGCTGCTTCAAATGGCAAAAAGAGGTAACAAACCTAACCTAATCAAACAGACTTCAGCAAATCTGTTAAAAAAAGATCAGTTTCTAAGTCGTGAACTTGATACTTCATGGATATTACCTCATGTCAGGGAAGACTGTGAGAAGAATATAGAAATAAAAATGGCTTCACTGGCATTATATTATAAAGTCATGGTACTGTAAGGCACATTGGATGAAAATGTCCAACAACTGGCACATGATTTGCTGCTAATTATCTCACTCACGTAGCCACAGAGCGGTCAAACATCAGGTTACTCATGTCCATGTAGTACTGAGCATCTGCTCGTATTGCTGTCCAGTACTCGTTTGCCTGAGGAAGAAAGACACTTTGTTATAGAAATGCTTCTCAACTAGCTGAAAAAGTCTTAGCTTTTGCTTTCACTGGATATGAATCATTGAGACTGACTTATTCTATGTATTGACACCACACAGCGCAGTGTTACCTGTTCCTGAATGGTGTAACCCCACTGGTTCTGAGAGTGGTGTGGATCCCAGTATCCAGACTGTCTCTTCAGCCTGATGAATCTCTTTGCCTCCTCTTCCTTCACAAATGGGGCGGCAAAAACCCCTGAACAGATAAAGACAGAGAACTGGATTTTAACACTTTCAGGCATCAGGAATAACAAATTACAAATAATGAAAAGATTTTTCCTGAAAAGACTGTTATGTAGAATATGGTTAATATTTCTTGCAAATAATATGAATGTAAGGTAAATCCAAGTGTGTTTAAGTTAAAATACATCTGGATTTAGATTTATTTAGACTTGAGTACTTAGGTCGATTATCATGGCCCTAAATGCGAAACATCAACTCATTAAACACAAGTAAGATTCAACACCGTGTAGTCATTCATGAAATCATCAGACTTACCACTCAAAAGAGCAAACAGGATCACAAACCTCATGTCTATAAAAGTTGAACAAATAATGTAAGTTTTACATTCCAACAAGAAAAGTTGTTGAAAATAAACAGAACAGAAAGACACACATGCATCAAATGATTTAAAAAAATAGTGACCAACTGCTTCCTTTCAACACTTGGGTAAATCTTAGTTCAATAAATAGGCGATTTAGATAAAGAGTTTCAGAAATGTGAGATTTACCTGCAGTGTGAGCTGTTTATCAGCTGAATGTCTGAGTGTCTTCAGAGCTCAGAATCTCTCGCCTGAATACGAAACTGAACAAGAGTTTCTTTCACTGACTTTTTACCAGGAGAGGAATGAATGGAGTCAAGCATCAGGCCAGCCACTCAAGGCAACCACTGATCTGGGCGCCAGAGTTCTGACAGACCCTCCAAACAAACACACACACACACACACACACACACACACACACACACACACACACACACACACACACACACACACTGATGCTTCCCCCCGGGAACAAGTCAAGCTCTTAGATTCAACATAAAGACGACCCTGTGTGGACTAATGGTCTGTTGGTAAAGAAGTACATTGCACCGCTCTCGATTTGAGCAAACACAATTCTCAGTATTTTCCATTTTTTTAAGCTTAAGTCAATATGGTGTATCATTAACAACTCAAATCAGTCAGACTTGTCTGAAATAAATTAGCCAGAGACAAACATGTTTGCTTTGCTATAAATTATTTTAATATATGTATGCTTTTAAAATAAAAATTTACTATTATATAAACAATTTTCACAAGAGCATTCCCAATAACAGATATTACTGTGTTATGGTGAAACCTTCTCACATTTTGGTCTAACTCACAGACACCACATTGCTGAATTCTTCTTGTTTTACTGTTTAGACACAGACACAGGCTGCACTTAAGTAAACGTAATAATTATACATAATTTTGGTTGCATGGCTCGTTTTTTGGTCATTGAAGAACGATGTGTGTTACAGTTTTTCTCAGTCGCTTTGGTACATTTCTCAGATCAGAATTGAAATTCTCAAAACTACCTGTTCAATCTTCACATCATGGTGTCACTTGTGCACATTAAAAAAGCAGTTTCTCATTTCTTTCTGACAATGGAAGGAAAAAATAATTGGACGGGGTCAACAGCTAGAGAGAAGAAGAACAGGAAGAGGAGTGAGGCTGCGTGGCGGAGGAGTTGGGAGGCAAAACAGAGGAAGAGGCAGAAGAGGCCGAGGACATATGCGCGTTCCTGATGAGATAAGAGCCACACTTGTAGACCATGTTCTCAATCATGGGCTTACAATGGCCGAGGCTGGTCAAAGGGTGCAGCCAAATGTTGGGAGAACAACTGTGTCCTCAATAGTTCAGACTTTTCGTCAACAGAACAGGTATGTAATCTAACAATAGGCACTGTACTGTAATACTGTATACTTTCTGTAATGCTTCATACAATATTACAGTATTTTTTCAGTATATTTTTTCCACATAGGACTGCAAGACAACTTCACAGGGGTGGCAGAGGGCCCCTTTTTCACACCTGAACAGGAGGAGGCTATTTGCACCATGTTTGTAGAAAACAATGCCATAAGACTAAGGGAGATACAAAGTGCCATTATAGAGGACAACAACATCTTTGATAACATCCAAACAGTCAGCATCTCAACCACTGACAGGGTGCTGAAAAGACACCAAATGAATATGAAGCAGCTGTACACCGTTCCATTTGAAAGAAATGGTGAAAGAGTGAACCAGTATGTACAGGTAAAACATGTATGAGCATGCAGCAACTGTACCTTACAGTAAACAGTACAACATCGTATAGTGATATACAGTACAGTAAGTGTGACCTTTACACATTTGCTATGGCTGTAGAAAAGAAGATGCAATATGTGCTGTATACATTTATACAAACAAAGAAAATGCATGTAATTCATCAAACTCATTTTGTGTCTTCTGGATATAGAGTATAATGGAACTGGAAGCAAGTGAACCACCGCACAGCTTCATCTACATGGATGAGGCTGGCTTCAACCTAGTGAAACGCAGAAGGCGTGGTCGAAATATCATCGGCCACAGAGCTACAGTTGATGTGCCATGCCAACGGGGCGGGAACATAACCATGGGTGCTGCTATCTCTGAGAATGGTGTGCTAACGCATATTCGCATTATTGGGCCATACAAGACAGAGCGTCTTGTCACCTTTTTAGACACTCTCTACAGGGATCTCATCCCTGAAGAAGAGAGGGGTCAGATTGGAGATGACCTGCCAAAGCACGTGATAGTTTGGCACAATGTCAGTTTCCATCGCTCCAACATCATCAGGCAATGGTTTGCAGCCCACAACAGGATGCTGATGGAGTTCCTCTCACCCTACTCCCCATTCCTTAATCCCATTGAGGAATTTCTCTCAGCATTGAGACGGAAAGTATATGATCACCAGCCACATAGACAGATGACCCTTCTGGCTGCAGCGTGTGATGACATCACAGCAAATGCCTGCAGAGGCTGGATAAGACACTCTAAAAGATTCTTTCCACGCTGCATCGCAAGAGAAGATATTCGTTGTGATGTGGATGAGAATTTGTGGCCCAACAGACAGGAACGTCAGGAGGTGTAGGAAGACTGCACTGTAATTCCTACTGCACTGCATGTATAGTTTTCCCTAAGGAAATTGTCCTATGTTCACATTTCTACTTTTGTTTTTTTGTTTTTTTTCTTTGTGCTATGCAGTGCTGTCTTTTCCTTTCTGTATCACAATGACATGGTCTGTCAAAAAATTACAGTACAAACAGTAAAAGTGTAAATGTGAATCTTGTCCAGTCTCTTGCAATCAAACTCCCACTAAGGTGTAACCTACAATTTACAATAATTGTCATCAAACCTTTAGCCATAGTTTACATCAGAACATCCCTCCAGAGTACACTGTTATATTGACAACATGACTAAGTAATTTGACTGTCTTATCCGTACACAATGACTCAAGGACTTGTCATTCTGATGGCACTGACATGTTCATTGACACGGATATTTACTTTTGAGAGATGAACTAAGGATTTTGAGCAAGAGAGTGGCTTTTGCAGGTAATCCATGGTGTTTTGCTATTTGTAAAATTTTTTTTGAGAAATGCACTTACTGTTTTGCAAATGTCGAGGATGATTCAAGAAATGTACCAAAGCGACTGAGAAAAACTGTAATAATATACAATAATTTTCTGTAAATCCACATTTCTTCCACTGGGTGGGGTCCTAACCACACTTTTGGCTGTTAAATAGTCCACGGTTTCTGCTTCAGGCATTTGACCAATGTGAAACATAAATAGGGAAAAGGGGGGTTTTGTTATTAAGAATGTATTGGAAGCTGTTAATGGATTAAAAAAATCAGTAGAAAGTAGCACACCTGTTCAAAAGTAGACATTAATAACTGTGTGAGCAGTATGGTCCAGTGAATTGTGGCCATAAAATCAGAAACAAAAGTGACAAAAACTAAAGATATTAATTAAAATGTGTCCTAACATCATGCAATCTAACTAAAGCAGATCATATTAGCCAAAGGAAGGGAATTTAAAACAGTTTTTTGAATTGAGAAAGGCTTGCTGAGACCTCAGAAATTTTCAAAGCAGTTCCCAAGAGTGTTAATTTGGGTTTCTCCTTTTCAAGGTGCTCTATTAAAGCTTACATCCTTTAAAGTATGAGCTGGAGGTTTCCTGTGAATTTCTTTGTGTGATGTAATATTTACACTCTTGCTCAAACGTTGATGCAGCCACATGAAGATGACCACCTAAAAGCTGAAGTGAGGATAAGAACAGAGACAATAACTAAAAGTCCAACAGAACAAAATGCATTTATAATTTAAACTCTTCTACTTATGAACCTAAGCATTTTTAAGTATGCTTATATAAATGTGACCATATTTCTCTGCATGTAGTTGCATTAACTCCTCTTTGATCACATTGTCCACCCACACAATGCACAACTCTATTTTGTGTTTTGTTTGTGTTTTCCAGACTGTCTGTGTCTCTCCTTCACCCTTGTGTGCACTGCTGACCTTTTCCACAATAACCTCCTAAGTGTGTGTGAGAGGTCTGACCTTTCTTTGACATCCCATAATAGACTGTGTCACCACCTGTACAGTGTAACGAAGACAAATGGCAGCAGAACAACAGAGGAGGAGCTGTGTCAGTGGTACCAAGATGCACTTCATCATGTGGGCAGATACTCATACACACACCTAAAAACAACATAAATTTCAGTGCAGAAGAAGAAGAAGCCTCACATTAAATGTTGCTTTTATTCTTAAAAAAACAATTGGCTAAAACCTACGTGCACATATTTCCAAAAAGATCCCAGATGACAACTACGAATGCACAATCGCAGACACACAGATTCATAAATGCATGCACATTTACACACACACCTTGGGTAGCTCTGGGACCCTTGTGCTCTCTGTCACAGCAAAAGCTTTGCATCTTCCACACATCAAAGGTAGAGACTCAGACAAAACTAAAACTCATCTGACCCCATTCTATCACACATACACACACACACACACACACACACACACACACACACACACACACACACACACACACACACACACATATGTACCCTGCTGTGACAGGCGAATATTTCAAATATTTAATTTAAAAACAGGAAAAAGGTTGTGAGGAGGATGTTTAACAAAATATAATATTATAGACTTTTGTCATTTTTGAGTCCTGGTTGAGAAGACATCTGTCACTGTCACTGCTGACTCTTTCATCCACATAGGAGCAAAGCACTGTCTCTGTTGTCAACTACTACGTGTTCGCTGGGTTTCATTTAAGTAGTAGAAGAAGACAACAGGGATGTAGAGGAAAAAAAGAACAGAGAGGTAAGAAGCCATGGTAGCTCCGCAACACTTAAGTCCATTAGCAGAACACTTCTCATTTATAAAAGATAGGGAATTAGCAGCTCCCTCAGGACTTTGCACTCTTTTCTGTCTTTCCTCTCTGCTATTGTCCACCTCCTATCAGTGCATTTATAAATGACATAATATGATGCACATTCCCCGTCCTAATTCTGGGAAGGATGGACAGATTTTAGGCTCCAGTTCAGTGTTGAGAGGTTTAAAATCTCTTAGAAGCTCATGACTTCTAAAATCTATGGTCTTTGATGTTTGATGTTTGATGATGATGATGAGGATATTTCTTTGTTGTTTTACCTGATAACTGTCAAACATGTGGTAAAAAGAATTGAGGGCTCAGATTTAAGTCAGTCTCTGTTTCTATTTGATGTTTTTACCATGAGTCTCAGCGTTTAA